TTATGCCTTTCCTTCCTGAAGTTTCCTGTATCGTTCTTAACTATGTCATCTTTAAAATCTTTGTGCTTTTCCTTCCTGAAGTTTCCTGTATCGTTCTTAACTATGTCATCTTTAAAATCTTTATGCCTTTCTTTCCTTAAGTTTCCTGCATCGTTCTTGACTATGTCATCTTTAAAATCTTTGTGCCTTTCCTTCCTGAAGTTTCCTGCATCGTTCTGAACTATTAAGTGGTCTCGCCAAGTAAGAAGATTTGATCCAATTTCAAGATCGCTCTTCATAGGATTTAAGGAACTCTCGGATTCCTCGCATCCTTGTGGGATACTGCATCTTTCATCTTCTCTAACTGACTTATCTTCTCGATCCATATATTTTGGAGGCTCGCCAGTATCCTTGACTTCATCGTTCTCATCACTATGAGACGATGCTCGATCAGGTGCCTTCCTGGTATTATCAGAAGCTATTACTCCAGCGGCCTGGGCCAATGGCGTAGCTTGTGCGTCAATGGGAGGATGACATTTTGAAAAAGGACGGAGTGAGTTATTCTCATAACTACCAGAAGTCTTTTTACCATCTGGACTGAGATTACCAGAAGTCTTTTTACCATCTGGACTGAGATTAACAAAAGTCTTTTTACCATCTGGACTGAGATTACCAGAAGTCTTTTTACCATCTGGACTGAGACTACCAGAAGTCTTTTTACCATCTGATCTGAGATTAACAGAAGTCTTTTTACCATCTGGACTGAGATTACCAGAAGTCTTTTTACCATCTGATCTGAGATTACCAGAAGTCTTTTTACCATCTGATCTGAGATTCGTCTCTTCTGACAAGCCAGTATCGGAATCGTTCGATATCACCAGCTTCTGGGGCCTAAAGGCCTCGCTCTTACGGTAATCACAAAACCAAGAAAAACTGTCACGCGCTGGTAACGTAACACGATCGGTTTCCATGACAACAGAGTTGTTCACGTTTATCACACTGGGTCTGGTAATGTCGTCGTTATCAATAGCGTTTCAATAAAATAAAACCCAAAAAGCCCCGATTTGACCGTAACTTTCGTTTCGTTCGTACCGTTTCACGTAGCGACAGTGATAGGCGACGCATTTATGTATATCACAAAATAGTTCACAGCGTCTGTAAACCAATATTGGGGGTACTCAAAGCGGGGTATCTACCCCACAGATAGACCGTTAGGAAACACAAAGGTTGCTTTTTTAAAACTTTCACAAACATCCGCTACGATTATTGGCCACATTAATACAAAACAGTGTCTCTAGCTACCTGCTTTACAAACCGGTACAGAGCTAGTGAGTCCTTTCCAAAACCGGTCACACGTTTCCTCATCAACTTTGATGACGCTTGTCCTCAATTCTTTCAAACGACTCTGCAACACACAGTTTTCCGACAAACAATACTTGGCTATTTGAACTCTTACAAACCAACAATCCAGTCCGCATGGAAATACGATATGTCAGCATCAACTCACCTTTTTTTTTACTTCGTATCTTGTATATTGAGGACGGTTAGCTCGAGAAAATCAACAACTTGATACTTCAACGTGAGTATCTCATTAAATAGAATAAAAACGAACCTTACTCTTTCTCCAGTCACTGACTTGACGTGCATCTGTTTTTACCACACGTATGTCTTACTCCCCAGTTGCGGACTAACCTTCCACTTGTTACTCCCAGCCAGCCTCGCGATAGCGATCTCAATGGAACATGACGTCATTCGCGCTACCTTCTGTTATGTTATCAGTGGAGCAAGCTGTGACTGGCGCCCCCTTTTTACCAGTTGGCGACAGCGCAAGCGGCATGTATACGTTTTTGAGTGAAAATGGCATCGTTCTGATTACGAAGTTTCTCGAGCGAGAGAGAGCGTTTGGCCTAGCGCCGATTATATAAAATAGATGTTTAGTGTTAACACGTGAATTTTTTTTTCACTGTCCAGCTTGTCTTACAGTTTTCAGTACGAATACGTTGAATAATTGGCGATGTGCCAAACAATAATTACCTCGAAGTGAAACTCACATTTGTCGAGTCGAGCGGCACAAAACAGCCCCCCCCCCAAAAAAAAAGAGCTAGTCGACAATCCTAACCAGGCTGTAGAAGTGTCTACAAAATCGTTTAATAATCACGAGTAATAAAGAATCCTATCGTTTCCGCGTGCTCCACTACGTGTTCTCCATGGACGTGTAATAGACGCCACTTGGAGCAACAGGTAAATTACTTGTATTGCTACGTTTCCGCGGGAATACCGTGTGTGAACTTTACCATAATTGTTCTCAATTGTTACGGTTTAGTGCAGAAACTGCCTCGAGCTATTTCATGTTCAAACACCAAAAATAAATATTATATATATATATATAACGGACGATTCCTTGATACACATGTTTCTGGAGAAGAAAAATACTTAATTACATCAGCTTCAGCTTCGTTGTGTCGGCATCGGGACCTAGATCCTTTCTATGGATCTGGGAGGGTCGGATTCTGGCTTATCGCTAAGGCAATGAAGGTTTAAGTCAGATCTAAAAACAATCTCGGTTCAAATCGAACAGAAGAGTAAACAAAACTACCATACTAATACCAGTACTCACTGTAGGGTCTCAAACATCAGACCAAACCGATCATGGTCACCGACGGAGTTTAACATTTACGTTGGCAATAAACAAGGTGGCCTAAACTATCTTTCCAATTTTAAAATTTAATAATTAATTAACTAAGGAAATACGACAATGCGGCTTTCAACATCTTGTAGACAAACTCAAACAGTTTTTATTGACATGTAAGTTGACTTCAAAGTGTGCACCAGTACGTCTAACTGATATTCGTTTTCAGTCCACCTTCGCTGCAACATGCCCACAGTTACAGTGGCGATGGTTTTTAGCTCTGTGATGTTTGTTGTAGGTGTGCGATACACGATATCCTTCACATACCCCCATACTTCTTTCCTCTAATTACGCTTCACCACAGTCACTGACTTGGTCTCTACAAGCCAAACGACGCATTGAGACTTTTCTTGCATGGTTGCCATTGGTAACATTACACATCGGAGTGAGAAAAAACAACAAAAACATGACAATAAAAACTGTTTGATTTGGGCTACAAGATGTCGAAAACTGCATTGTTCTATTTTCTTTGTTATCTAATTATTAAACTTTAAGATAGGAAAGATAATAATTTTTGGGCCACCTGTAATATAATAATAACAAAGATAAATCACAGGATTTTGACAGTCTAGAGATCGATTTGTGGAGATCTACATTTGTATACATGTATTATTAACAAGCCTGTAGACGGTGCCATGCAACAGTCACATGCGAAGGTTGTAACTATAGGTAGGACACATTGCATAGCCTTGTTTGTTTGTTTCAGAACCCTGACAAAAATGGTGTCTTGAAATATTAGAAAACCCTAACAAAGATGGTGTCTTGAAATATTAAAGAACCCTAACAAAAATGGTGTCTTGAAATCTGACATAACCCTAACAAAAATGGTGTCTTGAAATATTAGAGAACCCTAACACAAATGGTGTCTTGAAATCTGACAGAACCCTAACAAAAATAGTGTTCTAAAATCTGACAGAACCCTAACAAAGATTGTGTCTTGAAATATTAGAGAACCCTAACAAAAATAGTGTTCTAAAATCTGACAGAACCCTAACAAAGATGGTGTCTTGAAATATTAGAGAACCCTAACAAAAATAATGTTCTAAAATCTGACAGAACCCTAACAAAGATGGTGTCTTGAAATATTAGAGAACCCTAACAAAAATGGTGTTCTAAAATGTGACAGAACCCTAACAAAGATGGTGTCTTGAAATCCAACAGAACCCTAACAAAAATGGTGTCTTGAAATTCAGAACGTGCCCAAGAAATCTTGAATATTCGTTGGTTGTTAAATGTGACTTAAAGCCCGTGATTGCATGAGGCGCTGTGAAAGTCTTCCAGACTATTTTTTTAACTTGTTGTATCATAATTCCGGATTACTTAGTCCTTCAACCCTATCTCACTGTAGAACTGGTTTCTCTAACGCTACGAATGTAGGTCAGCTCAGTTGAACACGATCAGATGGTCGAAAACGGGTATTTCTTACCGAAGTTTCTAAAATATTCGTTGTGTTTTTTTGAAGTATCGAATTATAACCGGTGCATGATAAAGTTTAAAAACAGCATTTGTATTTTCTTCCACAAAAAGTCTAAAGATGTTTTGTAAATTTTCGCTTTAAAAATTAAAAACAAAGTTTCGATTATTATTTATGTATTGGATGTGCGAAAACAATTCCTTAACGTTACTTAGGAACGTATTTGATGAACTAAAGGAATGATCCCTTAAGTTGTGACTCGTAAAGTGGAACTGAGTTAATTGTTTTGACTAACGACTAATTACTTCTAGACACTTTAAGTTCGTCTACAAGACCCAAGTTTTTGTTAGTACTAGACACTTTAAGTTCGTCTACAAGACCCAAGTTTTTGTTAGTACTAGACATTTTAAGTTCGTCTACAAGACACTAGTTTTTGTTAGTACTAGACACTTTAAGTTCGTCTACAAGACCCAAGTTTTTGTTAGTACTAGACATTTTAAGTTCGTCTACAAGACACTAGTTTTTGTTAGTACTAGACACTTTAAGTTCGTCTACAAGACCCAAGTTTTTGTTAGTACTAGACATTTTAAGTTCGTCTACAAGACACTAGTTTTTGTTAGTACTAGACACTTTAAGTTCGTCTACCAGTTTTTGTTAGTACTAAACACTTTAAGTTCGTCTACAAGACCCAAGTTTTTGTTAGTACTAGATACTTTAAGTTCGTCTACAAGTTATTGTTAGTACTAGACACTTTAAGTTCGTCTACCAGTTTTTGTTAGTACTAAACACTTTAAGTTCGTCTACAAGACCCAAGTTTTTGTCAGTACTAGATACTTTAAGTTCGTCTACAAGACCCAAGTTTTTGTTAGTACTAAACACTTTAAGTTCGTCTACAAGTTTTTGTTAGTACTAGACACTTTAAGTTCGTCTACAAGTTTTTGTTAGTACTAGACACTTTAAGTTCGTCTACAAGTTTTTGTTAGTACTAAACACTTTAAGTTCGTCTACAAGTTTTTGTTAGTACTAGACACTTTAAGTTCGTCTACAAGTTTTTGTTTGTACTAAGTTCGTCTACAAGTTTTTGTTAGTACTAGACACTTTAAGTTCGTCTACAAGTTTTTGTTAGTACTAGACACTTTAAGTTCGTCTACAAGTTTTTGTTTGTACTTTACTCTCCGGTTTCCTTGTCTCATCTGATCCGAACAAGAAAACCGTTGAATCCTGGAGGTAGTATATGAAAGAAACCCTTACAGTGAGTACTTTATCTTCAAACATAAAATAACACGTCTCTTCTGAGTGCATCTATAGTCGTGACATCAACTGCCGAACATCAGAATGATCCGTACATACACAACCTTGAACAGTTGGACTGAACTGACATCATACATATAATCACCGCTTCGAGAGGTGAAGGTTGGGATCAAATCAGCTCTATCACGGCTACACCTGTTTTATTGGAATTCTGGAAACCTCTAAGTAATAGACACACCTCTCAGCAAGATATATCCTTCAACCCCATGGGGTTTATATGATCCATCGAAACACACATTTATATACTTCTCGTGACTTTGTGTTACAGGATCCCTAACATCCAATCCCCACAAAAAAAAAAAATGATAAAAATTCCACCAATATTCCAGTTAAACAAACTAACTACAACTATTGTATTTTACAACGAAAATTAATGGTCTCGTGCAATTTATTTGACCAGATTTTTTGTTGTTGTTTTCGCGGAGAGTTGTAAGAGATAAGAACATAAAACAACTACAAATGATACAGTATGTGGTCACTTCCGGTGGTGAACGGATACAGGTGAAACTCCATGAAGATCTGGACACTAGTGAATATGGATCCACCTGACGACGTTTTTCATGCAGGTAAACTAATTAACTTCAACTACTTTTTAAGTAGATTAAAACACTACCGATAGATTTTAAAGCAGCAACTAATAGTACGAATCCTGTAGTGTAGGTGTCGCTGTTATCAATTGTTTTACTCGTGCCGTTTTCTAGATTGAATCCTAATCCAAAATAGCTGGATAAAAATTCAACTTGCTGATCCTGAACAAACTAGAGGTTCCTTCTACACGAAACGACCTGGTTATACAAGAAACGGCTAAACGGTTTGTAAAGAAACAAATTACCAAATGATAAGAGGTTTCTTCTACACGAAACGACCTGGTTATACAAGAAACGGCTAAACGGTTTGTAAAGAAACAAATTACCAAATGATAAGATGTTTTTACACGAAACGACCTGGTTATACAAGAAACGGCTAAACGGTTTGTAAAGAAACAAATTACCAAATGATAAGATGTTTTTACACGAAACGACCGGGTTATACAAGAAACGGCTAAACGGTTTGTAAAGAAAC